AAAATCTTGGATTTGGGAACATCCTGCCCAAAACCAAGATCCAAGATTTTAGCCAGGAGTCTTGTGGGAATCTTGGATCTTGGATCTTGGTTTATCCAAGATTTTAGCCAGGAGTCTTGTGTGAATCTTGGATCTTGGATCTTGGTTTACAGTATCCAAGATTTCAGCCAGGAATGCAACCTACGTGCACAATATATATATATATATGGTACTCCAAAAAACTAAGGTCCAAAAGGCCGCCAAAAATAGACACAAAATATTGCAAATACCAGCAACATAGGTTTTTTTGGGGGGTACTATATATATATATATATATCCGCCTGTCCTATGTCCAGTTGTTGTGGTGTGTCCCAGCAGTCCCGAAGCTTGGAAACCTGTTCGCTTTTGAAAAGACATGATTCACCAAAACACAGACCAACATTCATCAACATGGACCCTTATACGAGCAACCACCAAAAATCCAACACATGGCTTTGATTCCATCACATCCTCGGCCCGACTTGGCCTCCTTCCAAAGCCGACCACGAAGCTCCCCTTCCAAACTGCCAAAAGGCCAGGTCTCCAATTCAGAGGCCGGGCGGGGCGGCAGCGGGCTGGACGTTGAGGGGCTCGGGGAACCTCTCAACCCTCCGAGAGATTCCACAGACGTACCACTGCATGACCGTATGCAGCCAATGATCTTTGGAACTAGACCGTTCTTGCACTTTTGGAGCCCATGGGTGCCTCTCCAGACTCTTTTTGTCAAGATATTGAATGAGGATCCCACCCTATGATGCCAATTCCACACATTATCTACAAAAAAGGGCTCAAAGCTTTTCATGTTCGAAAGCCGAACATGCTTCCCCAATCTCAGAGAGGCGAACAAAAGCTCAGAGAAGTTGACGTCCTCCGCTCCGATCCAAAAAAAAACTTTCCTGTCCTCGTTCTCCAATAGAACCGATGCCAGGCCTGCATGTCTTCAAAAATTGGACTTCAAGCGCATCCGATGGTGATAATCGCTGCACCTTGGCGTCAAAATGGCTGACCAAGATTGAGAATTGCAAGTATGAAAGCAGTGGTCATTCCCAGCAAGTGTGTAGAACAATGGGAGGTTTGCGAAAGAAGAGATTCCGAAAATTTACGGGACTGGTGTAGAGTCGAGCTGTTTTCTGTGCACTCATCCGTTCGAAGAGGGTATGAGCATAGTTCTTGCGCAAATCTGAAGAGACGTTCAACAAGGCTCTTCCAACCCACGTTCTTGGTGCGAAGCTTCTAGGTGACAAGACAAGTCTCTATGACCAAGATATATTTCCATGCCGTTTTGGAAAGCAGCCGAAGGTCTGGAGAGCGACCCAGGTGTAGTGCGTCGCCTGCTTCGCCCCCTATAGCTTCCATGTGATGCACGCTGAAAAGGTTTTGCCGCTGTGGTTGCAAAAAGAATTGATGTGCACTGCGAGAGCGACTTCTATGAGGACAGTGCCAACCCACGAATTCGCAGGAGCAGAACGCACTCCCAATCCCAGTTGCACGTCACACGGTGCACCGCTCAACTTTTTGGGTACGGTTGGATGTTGCTTTCAAATGTTCTCAAAATTTGAAACATCTTGATTGCTTCCTGGGAAACCATTTCCGGGCTCGCGTTTTCAAGTTCTGATCGTCTAGCTTCACAAAAGCTCTTTGTATCCATGTCCACTGGTTTGGCTCAAACAGAGCTGCTCGGCCTCGCAGTCCCAAGCTGTTCATCCTCACGGTCCTTTGTCGAACAGATGGTAGTCATCAAATGGTAGTCATCAGGTGCTCCCAAATAAAGTGTAAGAAATCTTCCATCTAGCTCTTTTTGCGGCCTGTATTTTCCATCAACGCCCCTGAGATTCTTTCCAGAAGCTCGTGATGGGAGTCCTCTCGACCATGTAGGGTGCTTTGCCAGGATTTCTCTGATCTGGCCGTTTCAAATCTTTTATCCTCACATGTTCTCCAATCTATATAGCTCTTTCAAGTTGTTTGCCTGACTTTCCCAATCTTCTTTCCAGAAGATTACTGCAGCCATCTCTTCAATGTCATGTTCTCAAAGGTTCTTTGAAGATATGTCTCCAATCTTGCGCTTTAATAATTCTAACCTTCACGCAGGTAATCTTCTTGCCAACAGTTCTTTGCAGATACGTCTCCAATCTGTGTCAAAATCTTCAAGTTGCTTTACGCCACACCCCTAATCTTCTCTTCACACGTTCTTTGTAGTTGTCTGTCCAGTTTGTTTCTCTTCTAATTGGTTGCTCTCCCGAATCATTCTTCTCCGATCTAGTTTCTTCTGTTGCTTTTTCCGCCCGCCCCAATCTTTGGTCCCAGAAATTGTTTGAAGTGCAATCATTCCTCCAATCCTTTCTGAAGCTTTTGGCCCACCCATGAGGTTCTTTGTGGTTCTCTCTCCAACCTGGCCTTTTCAAGGTGTTCATCTTCGCGTCCTTAATCTCTAGAAAGTCTGATGTCTTCAAGTTGTGCATCTGTACGCCCCAAATGTCCTTTCTAAAAGTTTCTTGTGTTTCTTCTAGTCGTTTCTCCAATCTTTCTTTCCAGGTTCCAAATGATGTCTGTAGCCATCTCTCCAATCTAATCTCCTCAACTGGTTAGTGACACTATCTAACAGAGTCCATCAAACTGTCCAAGAAAAACCGAAAACACACCGATCCTGCGGGAATCGCCACGGTTGGGCTGCCCGGATTTCGTTTCGGCTCCGATCCTGCGCGAACCCATGGCGGCGATCGTGCAGGAAGCAAATACCCACAGTGAACGAAACTCAATAGGAAGGCTGCCGAAGCCAAGTCAACAAAAATGAAAGAAAGCAACACCTTATATAAGCAGAAGCAGGGGGTGCAGAAAAGCCAAGAAGTCCAACAACCAAAAAACAAGCCCCAGAGTCCCAGAGTGCAAGGTCTCAACCTCATCCTCAAGCTCATCCAGTACTTCTGAGTCAAAACAAGCTTCTCTTGGGGGCTCAGCCCTTCAGATTTGAAAAAAATCTGCTTGCCAGAGGCGATGTTTCTCCATGTCCAAGAGATTTTACGCTGTGCTTTTCAGCCCTCGGCTTACAAAGAAATTGATCGTGATGCAAGATGTGTTCAGTTTTCTCCAGGCCCTGTCGGCATTCCAAGTGAGTCTAGGCTGGGACTCTTGGATGGTCGTCGCTTCACAAAGTCCCTCAGAGCTTGTGAACTCACTTCTTCAATTGTGTGCCAGCAGTTCGTGTAGAAGGGGGGTCGTTGAGGCTGAAGATCGCGCATCGCCATTTCATGTGCCCCGAAGGCCAATGCTATCTGCATTTTGATATATAATATACACATGCAAACTGGCTGTCTACAGCTGCTCTTGAAGTGTGTGTGTGTGTGTGCGTGCCCAGAGGTGCTTTTTGTCCAACTGGTCCAACATTAAGGGTCACAAGTTCACAATGCAACAAAAAAGATGCGGCAATCTAAGACATTGTTTCTTTGCCGCCAAGGTCTTTGCTGTGCCCAGCCGGATTTGGCTTCTGGCGGACAGTGCCTATAGCCTTGACTGACCCATTGTTTCAGTCTTCCTGTCTTTAACCTTTGAGCGAGCACTCATGAGGCAAAACGAGAGAAAAAGGAGAAGACAACTGGTTGGCCCGCAGGAGTGTGAGGGGGTAAGCACGCGAACACCCGGAACACCGTAGAGATTGCAGGGATTCACTGTGTGAGAACACAAAGGTTGTGGTACGTGAGCCACTGCGCAGCGTTTCCCTAGCAGAACGGCACTGACACATGGGATGAGGAAAGCGATTGGTCTTAAGGGTGCTCCATGTATTCTTGCCAGGCAGCATTTCAGCCACCTCCTGGATTTCAACGCTCAGAATTCAGCTCTCCGACCTTTTTCTGAAGTTGATGCTCCTCATTTCAGCCAGCCAGCTTGGAAGTTTCACAGAAATCGCCCAAGTTCTCAGGTTTTCGTACTTGCCAAGCATTTGTTGGCAAGTGGGGTTTGCTGAAGACCCAAGGCTCTTAGGATGCCGCCTTCCTAACAGAAATTCAGAGCTCACTTACCAGACTTCACTGCCAAGCAAGCCCAATCTCTTGAGTGAGGTGCTGCTTGGAGTCAGAGCAAAAACTCATAGAGGAAGAGGAATCTTTTGTGGGAGAAAGGTTGCCAAATGTCTGTAGTGAGCAATTGGCAGTTTGAGGGTTTCCCTGCCAGATGTCTAATCTCGGCGGGTCTTTTTAGCTTCTCCTCCTGGAAAGGTCTTTGTGCAGTGCTGGACGTTATTCTTGCTTCATTCTGCTTCTATAACTTGTCTACTAGCCAACCAAAAACGTGAATTCATGCTTACAACAAGCGCCAACTCTTGTTGCAAGGTGATACGCGACGCTCAGGCGCTGAGCAGCAACGCGAGTAACTAGCTGTGGGCGGAATAAAGGGGCATGCGCGTGTTCATGGTCTAGTGTTGGATACGGGGGGACGTTATGTTATCCAAAATAACCTCAAAAGACTTCAGCCAGTATCATTGCGCCAACGGTGCTGCATGGCACTTGAGTTGTTCTAACCCATGTGCACCTTCGCAAAAGTAGGGACCAAACAGCAACCAAGGCTTTTCATAAATCCATGTGCAAGAAAAGGGCAAAGTGGAAAGACATTCAAGCTGAACAAGCATGGCCGCAAAACAACCACAAACCGTCACATGTAGGGTCTTCTGATAATTCACCACGGTGAGCACAAAAACTGAGTGAGAGAAGATTCTCACACACACATACACACACTTGCACTTGCACTTGAAGAGGCTAAAGCAACGTGATACGTTGCCACTTGATCAGTAGTAGTAGGAGGAATAGTAGGAGTAGTAGTAGCAGTTGTCGTTGAAGAATAGCTCAATCTTACCAAAGGGGGGCGCTCAACTAGGGTGCCTGTCTTGAATTGAATGATCTGGGCCAACGAAGCGCAAACTGAGCTCAGATGGGCTTGCTTGCGTGGTGCCACATGCTTTGCCATACTGTGTAAGCCAAGTTGTACGTCCCCCCAAAAAAATAACCTGAGCTTATGAATTGCGACCTATCCCAGTCTTAAGGACGCGACAGGATCAGGCCTGATCAACTTCATCATGAAGGACTTTGCCACGAAGGATAGCTCGTTCCAGACCTCCAGCTTTGTGCAGAACAAAGCCAACTGCGGAGAAGAAAGATTGGGTGGTCTAGGCTTTGTACTTATGGGACTTATGGGGGTGTTCAGTATGGCACTTGGACGGAGCTCCGTCTGAACGTTGCCCTCTGTCGACACAAACAGGCATGTTTGTCTTGCTCAAAAGTCCAAACACACAACAAAAAGAAAATTTGCAACTAAACGGAGCTTAGATCATGTTCGAGTGGACTTTGTCAAAGCATGAAGCTCTATCAAAGCCTGCTATGATTTTACAAAAAGGAGTTGCTTGCAATGTTTGTTGCTTTTTGCCATACCAAGATAGGGAAGTCTGACGAAGCCTTTGGAAAGGTGTTTCAAGGATTGCTGGCTGAGTAGGCTCGTGGCCAAATGTCTATGAGCCAATAAACTATTTCTGTAGAAATAGCATCCGGAACCGTAGGTTGAATGCAAAAATTGTTCGCTGAACACATCTTTCTTGCATGGAGATATTCTAGGTTGATAGGAGTGAACCATATCTGCATGTCATCAACATTCCAATACAAATTCAAACAGAAAACAAAATTGTTTAGAAATTGCTTTAAAAGAATACAACTAGCATCAAAAAGTTAAAGACGCGGTTTCTCCACAAACCAAATACACAACATGCTGAGAACCCACACTGGCAATCTAGATGACTTACGATACAACACTTAACATAGTGGCTCACAAGTTTCTGCAAATAGTTAAACATTCTGAAAAGAATGACATGAACTGACATGAACTGCGCAGTTCTGTGAGTTCACGATGACGTGGGTTTGAAAGGAAATCATCCCATCACCTGCTGTGGGCACGAGTCACAAGTATTCTAAGGTCTGTAGAGAAACACATAGAGATCTCTATAGCCTATAGCAAATAAGTACTGTAAACATTTGGCCAATTGGCAGCACCAAGGTCCGGGAAACAAATGTATTGAAGGTAAAGGATGATTGCACGTTTGACGAACAAGTGAGAAAACGAAAAGCAAGAGCACTGGGAATGCAGAGGATGGAAAGCAGTGAAGTGGAAATTCAAAGCAGGAACGCAACAAGAACAGAACAACCTTCCAAGCAAAGGGCAAAAAACAAACAAGCAGAAAAGAAATCAGGAAAGCAAAAGAAAAAACCAAGCAATAACGCTACAAGACACTAAGCAGAAAAGAACAAAATATGCCTCTGCCGAAGCAAGTGTGGTTTATCGGGTTATCATCATTTGCATCTATCTCCCCGGCTTTGTTTGGGGGGTTGCTTGCAAAGCAAGAGCGCACAAGGTCACAGTCTGGATTTGGGGTGTACCTAAGTTCGAAACTTGAAGCCTCAACGCGCAACTCTTAAATGCGTGAGAACAAAACACTTGATTTTGCGGCTCCTGTGTTCAAGAATGTTTGCAGTTCCTGCTTTCAAAAGACTTTGGTATGTCACATGTAGTGTTCCAGCGAAGGGCGGAGTGCTGCAAATTGTGTTCGCCACTTGGTCTTTAGGCCGCTTGATGTCAAAACATTCATGTGTCATCTCAACTATGCAAGCATTGGCAACCTACAAGGGGCACACATCAAATTACACTTCAAAGGGCGAACGAACATATGCGTCGTGAACACGACTGGTCCAAAATCCACAAGCGAGAACATTGTGCGCATTCTCATTGTAGGTCCATGCACATTCTAAGCTGCTGTACCTCAAGGCATCTCTTGTGAAAAGGACCCTTTTAGACTCTTAAGTTGCTTGGGCAGAAAATGAACCTTATTCTGAATATTCTTAGATGTGCATTGTTTGGTTGAAGGGCATATTAAATATGCTTGTTATAGGGTGTGGTCCTGCAAGAGACAGCAGCCGACAGACAATTTGAGGTTCATCGTCATTCAACACCAAAAAGGCCCTCGTCGCACAAGACAAATCCCAACACAAAATAGCGATCTTTGCCTCTGTCTGCGTGTCTACCTGTCCCTTTGCCGCAAGGAGCATCACCTGTCAAGGCTCGTCTAGATTCTAGATGTTCCGAAAGCATCCCTTTAATAAATGTCCACACCGGATTCCACACCTCGTCTTCTTCCACGGCCAAGTGGAAAGGGCTGTGACCTCAGCTCCAGGTTTGGTTTCGGCGCGACCGAGATTTCGCTGAGCAAGCCCACCTATCAGCAACAGGTAGGTGATGATGCCCACACTGGCGGAAGCTGGCTTCTCTGATTTGGATCTGGTTTCCACACTCCACATGGCAGACCTTGCAACCTGGCAACCTCCCAGGGCCTCCACATGTCGCTTTTTCCACCACCCGTTGCAAAGCGCATGTCAACTCCAACCACAGGCGGGTTCCTGAGCGCGCGAAAGGTTCATCAGAACAAAACAAAGCCATACGCCAAGGCCCTAGCAATTCCGGCGGAGCGTACCAAAGCCTGGCAATTCGATGGGTGTTGTGAGGATCTGGAGTCGAGAGTGTCCTTGTGAAGCGCTTGCGAAGCGTGCCAAGAGTGCGTTCCAACACCACTTGGAGGAATAGGTCCGGGCTCTGCCTGAGTTTGCCACAGGATATGAAGCTTCATCGCTGTTTTAAAATGGAGCCATTCTCACTTAGATCCTTTTAGTCACTCTCAATGAGCCTATCTCACTATTCAAACACAATCAAACCAATTCAAAAATCGACACAGAACCACCCTACCTAAACTTCACTGGCGCAAATGCCCTTGCAGGCACAGACAAGAAGTGGAACATGCCTCTGGGCGTGCTACAGAAGCCCACCCAAAATCTGCCAGCTTCACCAATGGCACCTGGGGTTCAAAGAATGAAGAACAAGAATTGTTGCGCCAACTCTTTAGGTGTCGTCTTATGGAGCAAATCGGCACCTCATCACCGGCATCACCACCATCATCAAGAAGGATATTCTCTGGTTTCACCTGAAGAACGTGTGTTCAAGAAATCATCAGACTCGAAACACATAGAACCTGAAGAAGGTTTGTGATATGTTTCTCAGAACTTGGGCTGCGGCGTCGCGATGTTCAATGCCACAAGCTACCCTGATGAGTTGTCGCAGCTCAGGAACACTCCGATTTCCTTTCAATTTCAACACATTGGGGGCCATGCAAATGTTGCAACGCAAGCCTGCCATGGAGAGTCACCATGGAAGGAACACCAACAGAAAATATTTTTTCACCGCGCAGCGTTATCTTCAATGTCAACAGAGCAGTTTTTGAGCTGAGTGCGCTGACACCACTTGGGAAACGATCTTGGACACGATTATTTCCTCCATTCGGTACCTGCACAAGGACAAACAAACCTTCCTGCAACAGCGAGTCAGGCAATCCCACGTTTGAAAAAATATCACGACTGTTTCCTCAAACAAACGTTCGGAAATGATTTTCTAAGCTACAAGACCACTCCACGATCTCCATACACTTCCGCGCTCCATACGCGATTGCCGAAGAAAACGCTCGGAATTTCTTGGGCACCGATCACAGGAAAGGTAAAGTTCGTAGAGGCTTCCACGATTGCCTGAGCATTGGAAAGGCTACGGCTATTTACAACATCATTTCCGGTTTCAAGTCGACCCTGTGAGCCGCGGACAAAACTCCAGCACCAAACCATCTTCTTGAGGATCCTACAAGATGAGAAAGCTTTGAACTCAAAGAAAAAACAGGAAACACTCACAATGACACATCGACACCCACCTCGAAGCTTTCTAATAGACGAATAATGTGCGGATGGGCGCCAACACGTTGGAGAGCCTTGCGGCAAAGTTCTTGACACTCTCACCAATCTTCAAAATCTCTCATGACACCGTGTAAGAATAGCAGCTTGCCAGAGCCTTTACTCTAGGCCCAGGTCTTTCCAACTGCAAGGCACTTGTCCTAAATGATATTCAATGTAAAAACTGCGCTCATGCAACCTTCCAGAATGTCCAGAAACGCATTGATGTATCTTGAACCCTTTTCGTGAATTTCTAGTTAGAAGCTGCAGCTTCTATTGGCCAAATGTTTGTTTTGGGTTTCTGCAGTTCCCGAAGCCCATTGGTGGGGCTGAAGGAAGTTCTCCGTAACCACCCATCCATGAGAACTGGACTGCACGCTGCCCCTTTTGTGGAACCTTTGAAAACTCCCATTGGGCTGCCAGTGAACCTTCCCTATCTCGACGCACCCGATTCCATGTGGTGAGACACGAGCGCAGGTTTCAACACTGCACGTGCACTGAACCCCACTCGAAGGTCTGGGGCATGAAACACGACAAACCCGCCTCCTACGTCAATGTGGCTTGATTGGTCTGAACAACGGGCCTTTGAAAGCGTTGCGAAAGTCCCAGAGAATCATTCCGCAAGATCCACGCACATGACACATGTTCACACTCACACGAAACAGTTTTGCAGAGACTTGTTCAAGAAAAATCTTGGATCGGCCCGGCGCGCAAAAACATAGTAGATAAGAAGCGTCAGAACAATGTCACGTTCAATGCAACTTCACCAACTCAACGCACATTGAAAAAGGAAACTTGCAAAAACGAAAACACCAAAAAAATCATATGTCTTGCCAAATAGCTGCCTGGAAACCCAAACAAGCAGAAAGAATTGGATTCCAGATGCTTCCCCAAACAGCCACCTCCCATCTAAAGGATCTCAGCCACCAGCGACCAACGGCCCCTGCTCTCTCCGGACCCCCAACGGCCCCCGCCCAACCTGCTTTTCGTTGTTGAACGAAAAGGTGTGCTTGCGGTGGAACACCTTCAACCTGCCGCGCAGCAGAAACGGCAATCCAAGCGCACTTTTCCACCACGAGCTTCCTCAAACAACATCCACAAACCTCGCAAGTCAAGTAAAATATCTTCCAAAAGCATCCACAAACACTAAACCACATAAGCCTGCGAACCCAATTGCAAACACATCAACTAAGAATTCACCAAATATGCGGAATCAGAAGAACTAGTTCAGCGCGCAAAATGTTTGCCCCTTTCCAATGCATCCACAAAAGCACATTCGCCAGCAGGCGCAGCAGCGTCACAACTAGCAGCAGTTCACAGTTCACATACTTGGCACGGTAGCATTTACCTGCCACCAGACTTTGAAGTAGATCGAATGTGCAAAGTAAACGTTTCACCGGTTTTCTTCCTCAGCCTCCACAAGTTCCAAGTCCAAAGCACAAAAAGTGGGAGGCCGTGAGAACCAGCTGTTGGAGCCACCGACGGAACGAGCCTCAAGCAAGGACTGCGGAGGCTGCGAATGGGACTGCACCGCACGCGCCACGTGTAAAAGTTTACCACAATGTCTCACAAAGGCACACCTTCGAGGCAAGCCCCCTCCTTTTTCACCACGCCCCTTCGAGGCACAGCGACATTCAACGCCTACAGACCGTCCCGAGTCCCGAGGACACAAACCCCAATGACACGAGAACGCCACACGGCGACACTCGGGAACACACGCGGCGCAACAACGTCACGCTAACACAACGTCTGCCCAGAAGACAACCAGAGCCACATGAAAACCCTTCGCTGCAAAACTGGGAAGTTGAGCTTGACATCCTTGATGCTTGAAACCTTTGACAAGAAAAAAGGCGGGAAGACGCCACTCTTCGACCACAGCACATGAAGGCCTTCGTTCAAGGGCGACGGTCCCCTTTCCGAACCATAGTGCCAAAAACGCGCCTCGAAGACTGTGGAGGTCGCACCGCCCCCAACCTCTTTGCCCACAGAAAAGCGGGCGCGGTGGCGGGATTCCTCCAACAAAACCGGCAGGACACATCTAACCTACTAGCAATAGCCTCCAACCTACCAAGTTGCTTTGCGCGTTGCACCACTCTACTCTACAGCTGGGCCTTGAAATCCATCAGCCACATGTCCCAGTCGTCTTCTGCCCTTGCTCGCTCCTGCACTTTCAACTGAGCCGTTGCTTGCAGACCCCGAAATCAAGCTCATCGTGTCCCACGCCTCCCGAAGCTTCAAGAACTCGCGTCGCTGCTTGTAGCCCAGCCACACCCTTAGAGACAAGATAGCGGGACATGGTACAGGCTCCATGCGCCACTGATAGAGACAAAGCCTCCAAGCGCCACAGGCTCTGCCAACGGGAACATAGCCATGCTGCTGAAGCTACCGGCGATGTTAGGCGCGAGGTTGAAACATACAAGAGACAGAGGCCAGACAGACAGACGGACCGACGGACAGAGAGAGACCGAGACAGAGAGAGACAGGGAGAGACAGAGAGAGACAGAGAGAGACAGACAGAGACAGACAGAGACAGACAGAGAGAGAGAGAGAGACAGAGACAGCGAGAGCGAGAGCGACAGCGACAGCGAGAGCGACTAGACAGAGACAGACAGAGACAGAGCGAGTGGAGAGAGGGAGCGAGGGAGGGAGGGACGGACGCGCACTCCTGATCTTGTTCCAAGTTGCTTCCTTATGGAGGTTGCAGCTCTCCTGCTCTTGTCGTCGCTCTGACTCCAAGCCTGAGGGGATATGGAAACCACATCAAGTCAGCCAAAACGGCACACCAAGAAGTCAAATCCAAGGCTTCCACCCAGAGAGCCAAGGCCACAGGCACAAGCGCAGCCTCAGCTCTTGAATCATCACCGTGAAACACCGACTGGCATAACTTGGTCATCATGCCGACCAGACACGCAAGGAGCGAGCGCCAGGGCCGCCAGCCCTCCCGCTCCCGCGGTCGCCGTCGCGGTGGGCCCCACCGCCATGAGGGCGGCACCGAGAGCAGCGCTCTCCATGGCGGCCGGGGAAGTGGGTACGCACGCTTCTTCTTTGCTCTTGGATTCTGCGTTGGGTCTCGTCAAACAGCTCGATGTAATCGTCTCTCAGGCCGAAGCAAGAACGTTGTCATGCATTGTTAGTTTGTTGGTTTTAGAGCCTACTTCACAACTCGTTTGGTTTGCTTAGCACCATGTTGCACCGTGTTGCTACCGCAAGAAGTCGAAATGGAAGAGCCTCAAAAAGGTTCGGAATGAACGTGGATCCAAAGGCCATCATGGTCCATGGTCATGTCTATGTGTGTTGTGTGTGCTCTCATCTCATGTGACTCATGTGTGTCGATATCATTCACTATCATTCTTTCTATATTCTTATATCACTTGTATCTATCTGATTCTATCAGTCTTTGAGACATCCTGGTGATATATATGTTTTTTGCCATAAACATTGCGAGAGAGAGAGAGAGACGTCGCGACGACAGACCGCAGACTCCCATCCGCTCTATTTCTGGGCACAGGAGATCAGCTCCTCATTCGGAGATCAGCAATTGGCAAGCCCAGCTTTACAACCATTCCTGGCTCTTACAAGTGTCCAAAGCCCAAACGCTTAAACGCATCTGGGATGAGCTTCACTTGAGAGTTCCGTGAAATATCTCTCACCCACCGCATTGTCCTGAGCTGAATGGAACTTCGAAGAACACCGCATCACCACACCATGTTGTGGCCCGCACAATTTGGATGAAAACCGCTAGAGCAAGAAGGCCAGCTCTTTTCTAGCATTCCATTCACTCAAGGAATGAACACGGACGCACGAGCCCAGACTTAACGCCTGCTTCCTGGAAGCTGTCTTCAAAAACATGGTGCGCTGCTTGTTCTGCCCAATCGGTGAATGCCTAGGGCACGTGTGCGTTGCCAAAGGAAGCATTCCTTTGACTAGAATGATTCAGAATGACCATCAAAAAGAAGTAAAATATGCATGGACGGGTTGATTGGGCTGGCTTTGTCCCACATCTGAGCATTTGGCATTGCCATCTCAGATACTTGTAGTTGAAACGTAAATAGCGATATCAGCAGCTCTTGTTGGCCCAAACTTGCACCCGGTCGATGCAAAGATTTGTCCGGGCAATGCCTGCATTCTTGGTTCCAAATAAAGGCAAGGGCTTGATGTGATCATTGCACACCATCACAATACACATAGTAGGCGTTTCCCTCCTGCTGCGTCCGACAAAATCTGTTTTTTGCTTGCGTCCAAGGGTCCAAACTAGATAGATCACCGTTTTGTTGGCGCCTCATCGAAACGCCGACGTTTCAGCGTCCGGGGACATCCTTCGGCCTCCCGCGCGGACGATGTTCGGTGAGTCCGCACACGCGGGAGCCCCTTTCAAGTGCCAGCCCCTATCGGTGGCCGGTGGCCGGAACACAAAGAATGTATATGGAGTCCCCAAATAGGCATCATATGACATATCGGATTAGAAAGTGGAAGCAGGCATTATGCACTGCTGACAACATACAGGCACATTAGATCCCATTAGCATGTACTGTGCATTTCAACACGCACCCTTCTCTTCCGAGATGCATCAACAATATCCTTGCAGAAACAGTTCAGCTTCTTCTTCCTTTGCGTTCATCGCCTCGGCCAGGAAGCAAGCCCTTCAACAATTCAAGCAAAAGCGTGACTGGTGAATGGTGGATGTTGTAGAAGTCTTTGCTTGCTTTGCGTATTGAACAAGAACAAGGCATGATCGAATTTGAGTGGACATGCCTTCAGAGATGCCTCAAGCCACGTTGAGTCTGGCCTAAGAGTCTCCTCTTGCTCTTTTGTTATATAGAACTCACTGCAACTCTGCCGCTCCCCTTCGCGTGAAATGAACAACATGAACATGTCCCAATTGCCAAAAGGATCTGGAAAGGACAAGAGTTTCCAAATCAAGTCATGAAGCAAAAGCCCTAGCAACTACGGGGAGACAAGCTCATGATCGGCCAGTGCAAGAGAGGGGCACAATGGCCATCCACAGCATCCTGCGCTTCTTGATCTCAGACCTTTGGAGTCGGAAACGAACTCATAATGCAAGTTCTGACTCAGAAAAAGCCTCAAAACCCTGGCTTTTTGTGCAAATGCGTAGCTGCGTACCAGGGTCCAAACAATTTACAGCTCGAACTTGGTCTGCAGCCGCGGTCCTTGGAGACAGCGCTTTGGTTTCTGGTCCAGAGGACCGAATATGAAAGAGAGTATTCCTTGGATAAAAAACATAGGAAAGAAAGACATGAAAAAGAAAAGGTTTTCCTGTTTGTTGTTCAACATGAGCTGGATATCTTCCTACCTTCCAAATCCGTCTTCCCGAAAAAGAACGCATCATGTGTTGACACGTCATGTCATCCGATGCTGGGATGTCTCATCCCCTCTCCGGCAATCCGACCATCGACTGGCAGAGATGATGATATCTCAATCCACCGCGGGTTCCCTGATGTCCACTGCCGGTTAGGAGGAGTCACAATCATAGAAAGCTTAATTGGGTATTATACTAGATGCTAATGAGATGGGAGCAGTGACAGCGTGCCACCCCAAGTGTACACTGATGAGTGTTCCGATCAAGAAAAAGATGTTTCTTTGGCAACACCCCTGCAAGAAGTCAGCCCTCACTATGCAGTTGAAAAATCAATTACGACCTCAAACTGTTCAATTGTTCTGGCACCCTTACACAAAATGTGGAGTTGCATTGGAATCATGTAGGCCATCTTGGACCTAAATCACTAATTGGCACTGACAAAGCAGTTCTCTACCCGTGATGTTCTCCAGCTCGAAGTCCAAACCAAACCAAAAGAATTGATTGATGTCCCATTCTGCACAATTACAGGTAACCCTCCTTAGAGTCAACCCCCGCTTTTACCAAAGCAGTCTTGTTCAACTTCGCACAACTAAGCACCGAACGAACGCATAGCATGCCATCGTACTCCATCACATTTCCACTTTTTGGCCGTGTCGGGAAAGGATGTCCTTGGATCTAATGGAAGTACTGCGAGAACAATCTGCACTAAAAAGTCCAAAAGTCCTGGGACAAAGAATTGCACACTCACAATGGACGGTTTTGGGTCAAAAGGCAGGTCTAGATCCAACTCTGAATGCCATAGACCGCCGCAGGAGAACATGCCCTGTTGAGTCATGTGCCGGTTTCAACCCACACACCCATGACATACCCACACGGCCATCTTTGCTTATATATATATATATATGTCTGTGTCTTTCACACAAAAATATATACATGTACTTATCTAAGTTTTCTCTGCATGTCTTCCTGACAGCCCAGCTGCTTCTTGGCTGCATCGCAACATTTTCGCCGCTTGCAGCTGTGCACCTCAAAAATCATGTTGGTTATTGAAATCACTATTGAGTTGTTTGTCCATTTTGATCCAAAATGAATCCATGAGGTTGCTCAGAAGAGACACCAACATGGACCAACACTTCCCCACAAAACTCAAAACAAAAGCTGCGCAAAACCGTCAAGGCTGAGTCAAGCGCACATCTCCTCTTTGCTGCTGTCGCACATGGAGCACCAGAGTTTGCCGGGAAAACACACAATCATGCATCCTATCTTTGCCGTTACACCGTTTTGGAAATCACGGGTCTTTGGTCACTTTATTATGTTTGGCCTGAGTCGTTTGGTTTCTTGGTGGCAAAACCAAAACCAATGCCTCTTCCTAGGTGTGCGTGTCGCGCAAACAATGCATTTATTTTGCGATGTCGTTTCCTTCCTGCGGCGTGGTTGAAAAAACATGTACTGAGTGGTTGGATGACGTGCGTAGCCATTGGCGTTCACGTTGACAACGTGGCTGTTTTAGGCCCAGTCATGGTTTGTAATTCACTCTCGAGCCAACACAGCCGACAACAACGACGAATGGCATTTTGATCTGCTGGCGGTTCTCCAAGACGTGCGAGCGCTGTTTGAGACTAACGGGATCCAACGGGCCTGGGACTGGAGCTCTGCTTGCAGTTCACTGTTCCAGCGCTCCTCAGGGCCGACAACCCCTGCCATTCCGATGAGCAACACGCTGCTTTTGAGCTAAAGAAAAATCAACATGCCTCAGCGCAGCGAACGCACCAAAACATACTTCTGAGCAAAGGCTACCTTAGATGCACTACTACTACTACTACTACCACTACTACTACTACTCCTCCTCCTACTACTACTTCTACTACTACTCCTACTACTACTACTACTACTACTACTACTAATACTACTACTTCTACTACTACGACTACGACTACGACTACGACTACCACTACCACTACCACTACCACTACAACTACTCCTGCTACTACTACTACTACTACTACTACGACTACGACTACGACTACGACTACCACTACCACTACCACTACTACTACTACTACTACTACTACTACTACTACTACTACTACTACTACGACTACGACTACGACTACGACTACTACTATTCCTACTCCTACTACTACTACTACCACTACTACTACTACTACTACTACTACTAGCACTACTACTGCTATTGCCACTGCTGCTGCTACTGCTACTGCTGGTACTCCCACGGCCAAACCACTGCACTACTACTACTACCACTACTACCACTACCAATGCTACCACTACCACCACTACTACCACTACTACCACTACTACCATTACGACCACTACGACCACTACGACCACTACTACCACTACTACTACTCCTACTACTGCTACTACTACTGCTGCTACTACTACTACTATTACTACTACTACTACTACTACTATTACTACTACTACTACTACTACTACTACTACTACTAATACTAATACTAGTACTAGTACTGGTACCAATACTACTGCTGCTGCTGCTACTACTGCTACTGCTACTGCCACTGTGGAATATAGAAAGGCACCCATCTCACTGCTCCCTCTGAGGAGATTCGAAAACCTGCAACCTGACCAAGAAGTACTGAGCATGAAGGATGAATTCATCGCCCCCGTTTCACCTTGTTTCACCATTTTGCATCGGCCTACGCAACTTTCCTGAGGTACGAACCCGGCTCACCGTCTGGTGT